CCCTCTTGCCAGTAAAAGGTGTATGCGGTGATCACTTGTGTTTGACTATGTGTCTGCCCATGGAGTACCTCATCATAAATTAGCTTCAAACGAAATTTGTGTTCCCACTTCACTCCTAAGAAGTAGTTGACCATTGCATTGATTAATGTGCTCTTCCCAGCTCCAGTAGCTCCAACAACCATTAGTACTCTTGTTGGTTTAGGAGGAACAACAGGAGTACCATACTCCATTTTGAAAATATTGCTGTACCTTTCTGTAAGACGTACTGGCCTAGCTTTGATTTGATACACTACTGGGGGGCCATGTTCAATGACTTTTGAGTCAGCAATGATGTTCTGGAGCTTTATATCAATCATCGGTGGTTTAGTTTGTATAATGTCACTAATGTCACTCTCTTCACTGTGACCCAAACTACAGTCAGCACGTACCTTGACTATATACTTTGTATCTGGCTGTAACTGGTTTAGTGTAATGGTTGTTTCATTTCCTTTTGTCTCCTGATTAAGCCACTTCTCTGGGGATTCACTGATGCATTGCAGACTGACTATGTAGGAGTCTATGGTTGATGATCCATATTGAGGTGCTTTCCACTCCAGCTTTATGCTATCATGCTCCACACTAATGGCTGTTGGTTTTCCTGGTCTACCAGGAGGATCAAACTCACCTTCTGGCATGCCATACTCATAGTGCACTATATAACTGCTCCTTTACCAGTAGCATTATCTCCACTGCTGTCTGTGGCTATGAACGATACTTCCTTACTCCCAACATTTGCCTCACAAAAAGCAGCAAACTGCTTAATTTTTTGACAAAGTCTTGAATTATAGGCTTTGTTTTGAACCATGGCACAGAGGAAGAAGTGTGTAGACTTTGACTGGTTTCCCTGTTGCGTAAAAACAAAAGCATGCTCTGAAGGAAAGGATCATCTTTTTTCAGAACTTTGAATTCAAAGCTGAGAATGTGATCATGATGAATGCCACCAAGTGCTGATTCAAGTTTACCAGTACTAAAGGAAAGTTTTATTCCTAAAATGTAGTAATAATTATTTAATTTATAAATTATTGTGACATAATAATACCTTGCACTTTCTTTAAAATGGTCAAAAACTGAGTAAAAAGTTTGATTTCTTCCTCTTTCCTTTTTACCCATTCTTGCAGGAAGCACATGCTGAAAGGTGATTTGTCTAAATCTCCTAGTAAACTGGCTAGCTTTTGCTCTTCTGCTCCTCCTCCTCTG